GAGAGAGAGAGAGAGAGAGAGAGAGAGAGAGAGAGAGAGGATGTATCCACTCCACTTCTATGTAGGGTTTTCAAAACTCCAGGAATTGGAGGCCCCATGTTCCCTGAAATTCTGTATGTCTGATTGTAGCTGTTGGATTTTATTCCTTACTATCCCAGATTGGTTGACATAAAAACAGCATTCTTCTTGGAGGAACAGGCTAAGACCACCTTCTTTGGCTATCAGGACATCTAGCCCCCATCGGTTCTGAAGCACCACAGCTGCCAAAGAATGGATCTGTTTCTGGATGATAAGCATGGTTTCAGTCATCTATTGAAAACTAGTGCTAAACTCAGAAGTGAACTTATCATACTGAGTTATGGAATTCGTTATCCCTGCAATTCCAGTACCAGCAGCTATAGCTATTCCCTTAGTGACCAGGAGCAGCACAACTTGAACTGCCCTCTTACGTTGGGCAGCTATCATATCTACAACTGGGATCAGCAGGGGCTCCTTTCCCTGGATTACTCCAAGTTCAGGGAAAAGGAATACCAACGTGCAAACTCCTGACCAGCTGGTGGGTAGGTGATGATATACCTGCATGCCACGAAGAATCGACCTGTTTTGGACTGCAGGAAACTGTGGCAGAGATGAGATATCAAGGCTTGTGGTTATATTGCACTCTAGGGAGCTTAGTGTTCCTAGAGAACATGTCCTAGAGGTCCTGAAACAGTTTGCCATGCTGAAACAAGGGATAGAGGAATGATATGAATCCATGTCAACATCAGAGTCAGGGCAGCTGACAGAAGGTGAGGTAACATTGTCTGGCAGTATCACCAGAGAGGCTGAAAGTGGCACTTGTGACTTAGTTCCAGGGGGTAAGCATAGCCACCAATCTTTAAAGCAACCTGGTTGGGTGACATTAAGGGATTGGTACGCCAAGGTCAAGGTGTGAAGCAAAAGCCAAAATCACAAGTTAGTGCCATTTATGAGGGGGAATGTCAAGGAGGTAAGGACCTCGGAGGAGTGTTTGATTACTTCTACTTTTCCAATATATAGAGGTTGGGCAGTTGAGACATATTTTTTCTGGATGTGGAGAGTACTTACTGGGGATACAGCTTGGTTTTTATGCTAGAGCTTACCAACAACTCCTGTCTCCCCCGTGGGTTTCCATGGGTCTTGTATGTAGAAAAAGACTGTCTTGCATTGTTGAGAGAAGAAGTGATTGGACCATGATCCTAGCGTATGTATCTGGCAAGAATATAAAAGTGCCAGGGGATGTCTAGGGCCTTAGAGAGAATTAGAGAAATTTGGGAAGTAAATTCAGAGCCATTGTCTGACTGGAAGAGGCTAGGACACCAAATCAGGGGATGATTTCTTGGAGGAGGAGACCAGAAAGTGTCTGAGCCCTTTGGTTAATTTTGGGAAATGACTTCACCCACCCCAAGAAGGCGTCCACCAAGACCAGGCGGTACTTGGCACGTTTGATAGTGGGCATGTGGGTAAAGTCAAGTTGACAGTCAGTTCCAGAAAAGGAACCTCTAGCCTGATGGGTAGGAAAAGAGGTGGTGCTACGATAGCT